CTTTCGTCTCACCCCACTAGCTAACCACAAATCACACAAGTAATTCCCTTAGACACTCCAGTTTCCCAGTATCACCACCAGTGCCACTCGTTGTGGGGACAAATGGTTATGAAAACCAATACCCCAGTAAAAGAAAAAAGGTTCTCCTGATCCCAAAGGACCAAGCCCCAGACCCAGGTCAATATACAAATCAGATCTTACCCACAAATCACGCTGTTGCCAATCTTTTAGAATCTAAAATCTAAAGGTATATTCATAAAAGGAAAAAGATATTGCTGAGAGCTAGAACTGGTTAAATGGACTCAATTACAGACAGTAATGGCAAAGTTCTTTGTTCAGGCTTGCAGCAGAGATAGAATAAACTGCAGGTTCAAATAAAGTCTTTGGAACATCCTCAGCTGGGATGGGTCATCAGTCCTTTGTTCAGAGCTTCAGTTTGTAGCAAAGTTCCTCCAGAGGTAAGAAGCAGGATTGAAGACAAGATGGAGGAGAGGCATCAGCCTTTTATAGTCTTTTCCAGGTGTAAGAACACCTCTTTGTTCTTACTGTGGAAAATTACAGCAAAAAGGAGTCTGGAGTCACATGGGCCAGTTTCTGCATATTTTGCTGAGTCTCAAGGCATATTTGCCGTCTCTCAATGGGTCTATTGTATAGCTGATGGTCCTTAATGGGCCATCAAGCAGGCTAGGCAGAGCTAACACCAGCTTGTCTGGGATGTCACCCAGAAGCATAGCATAAGTTTGAAATACAGATAGAATAGAGCCAATATTCATAACTTCAACTACAAAATTGTTACACACATATAGACAGCATAATCATAACCAGTAAATCATAACCTTGTCTTAGACACCCCATTTGACCCCCTTTATACAAGATTTGGGTGCCACTACAGGACCTTGGTTGCAACCATGTTCTATATGGTCCCATATTATGTCAATAACGTCACACCAGCTCTTGGCTTTTTCATCTTCTTTATTTTTTAAGGGCTTGTCTCTAGTTACCGTGGATTGACGCTGCGGTGATTGATCCACCGGGGGTCAATTTAGCAGGTATTCACTAGACCCGCTAAATCAACTGCCAATCGCTGTCTCATCGGCTCAGGTACTGCATCGGAACGAGAAGCATAAGGTAAGTCGACAGGAGAGTTTCTCCCATTGACCCAGCGCGGTGTAGACACCACAGTAAGTCGACCTACGGTACATCGACTCCAGCTACATTATTCACATAGCTGGAGTCACGTAACTTAGGTCGACTTAACCCCATAGTGTAGACCTGCCGTTAGTCTCTTAGTTGGAAACTTAGCCACTCAACATTTGACCCTTCAGCTCTATTATTCACTGTCAATGTCAAGCGTTGTGGAACCTGGACCATCGGACTCATTTGGCATTGCCAGAGACGAGGCTGGTCCTATGTGTCTTACCACTGGGTCCCCAAGGAAGGTGTGAGGATGCTAATTTAGGAAACTTTTCTACAATGGTACCACATGTACCCCCAGAACTGTATTATTTTGGGATCTTCTGCCATGTGTGTTGGTGGAAGTGGTCTCGCAAATGAGAATATTTGCATCATGAGAAACACCTCTTGTATTTTCACACTTCTTAATCTTTCACAGGAGGAGGAGGAAGAAGAGAAGTGATGCAAATGCATAAAACACAACAGAAAATCTAAGGTCTGGTCTACACTACAGTCCTATATCGGTATAACGACATTGCTCAGGGTTTGAAAAATCCACACGTCTGAGCAACGTAGTGATACCGACCTAAACCCCTGCGATGGGATCCCTGGGGTACAACCAGGCACTGTGGGACCACTGTGCCTCCTTAACTCTCCTGCCTGGGTTGACTCTCACAATGCTATGTCAGTGACAAGCAGCAAACCCCGCCAAGCACTGTGATCACACAGCCATTGGCACGTGGAGCCCTGCACCCAGCTAAATTGCATGAATGCTCCCCGAGTTCCCCATGGAAAATACAGAGAGGCACCAGTTAATCGCCCCAGCCCACACTCTTACACCCCAGAAACATACCATCTTACACTGCTCAAGACTCCCTTGGACAGTGCAAGCTCATTAATTAATTTGCCACTTCTTCCAAGGAACGTGGACATGCACCAGCCTTTGTAACCTGAGCAGAGATTCCCCAAGCACTTCAACCAAAATCACACTGGTTTAGATAAAATATAAAACAGATTTATTAACTACAGACAGATTTGAAGTGACTATAAGTAGCATGAATAGAGAGAAAAATTGGTTACCTACCAAATAAAAATAGAAACAGTCTAAATTCTAACTTTAACAGACTAAGCAAGATTTGAACCAAACAGTCTCTCACCCTAATGGATGTTACAGGCAGCTCACAGTTCTCAGTACTCAGCCTGAACTCCCTTCCAGCCTGGGACCAATCTCCCTAGTTCAAAGTCTTTGTCCTCCAGACAATCTTTCAGGTGTTGATACGAGGAGGGGAGGGGGAGAGGCCAAGTGATGTTGTTTTCCCTCTTTTATACTTCCAGCTGCTAGAAAGATCCTTGCTGTGACATTGGTTAGGGTAAATTCAACAAAAAAACCAACCAAACAAAAACACCACTTCTATTTCCTGCACATCTGCATCGTGAAGGGCAGCATTTCCCATAACATAGGATTAGCTAGGAGATACCTTCTGGGTTACAAATCCTCTGGGAACCAAATACTGTACGTGAGCATTTTGCCTAGTTCCAAGCCAGTTACTGTGAAATTTTCTTCCCCAGATCATGAGACAATATTGACTAAACCAGCAGTTCTCAACCCATTTTAAGGGGATCACCAGGGCTGGCGTTAGACCCTGGACTGAAGCCAAAGCCCAAGCCCCCCTGCCTGGTTAAAGCCAAAGCTTGAGGACTTCAGCTCCCACACATGACAGGACTTGGGCTGTGGCTTCATCCCCCCTGCAGGGCGGGGTTTGGGCTACTGCCCTGCCACCTGGGGCTGAAGCTCTTGGACTTCAGTTTCCGGGGGGGGGGGGGGGGAATCCTGTAGCAATTTTTGTTGTCAGAAGGGGGTCACGGTGCAATGACGTTTAAGAATGGTGTTTAGCTCCCTTGCAGCTTCTGATAAGGGCTGAGCTCCGAGTGATGCTTTTCCCACACTCTCAGCATTCAAGGGGTCTCTTTCCCGTGTCGATTCAATGCTGTCGAGTGAGCTGGGAGCTGCAACTGAAGGTTTTCCCGCACTCGCAGCATTTATAGGATCCCTCTCCCGTGTGGATTCTCTGATGTGCAGTGAGTAGTGATTACAAAAATTAATTATGATTAATTGCACTGTTAAACAATCATAGAATACCATGTATTTAAATATTTTTGGATGCCTTCCACATTTCCAAAAATATTAATTTCAATTAGTGTGATGGGTTCCCCCCTGGGGTGCCACCTGGAACTGGGTCACCACTGAGACCCCCTGACCCACCAGCCTGGGTTTCCACTCATGCTGTACTGCTGTGACAAGCTGCCAACCCCTCCAGGCTTCACAATGCCCTTCCACCAGCGCACACACAGGTAGGGACACACCCAGCTGCAGCTATATACACATGGGTTCTTTAACTGGTCCCTGCCTGGGAAGGCACAGCTAAGGCACCTCCCATTTCCTAAGGCACCACCCCCCAGAGGGTAAACCCAAAATTATATCGCCTTGCGCTGCACAGAGAACTGTACAGTGTAAGCTCATGAAATTCGCCTCCTCCCTCAATGCGGAAAGGAAATATACAAAAGCTTTCTGCCCCAAGTTTTGACTTCCACGCACTGGTTTTAGACAAAACAAAAACAAGTTTATTAACTGCAGAAGATAGATTTTAAGTGGTTATAAGGGATAGCAAACAGATCAAAGAAAATTACTTAGCAAATACAGAAAACACAATCTAAACTTAATATATTAAAGTGATTAGCTATGAATAGCAAATTCTCACCCTAGATGATGCTTTAAGCTGATTGCAGAGATTCTTAAGGGGCCAGCTGCCCTGGCTTGCAGCTTAAAAACCCCAGGAATTCCTTTCACAAGCTAGAAACCCCTGTAGCCTGCATCCAGCACTTCTCCCCCCAGTTCAGACTTTTTTTCTTAGATGTTTCCGAGAGTCTCTTTGGGATAGGGAGTCAGTGAAGAACCCCGATGATGTCACTCTCCTGCCTTAAATATCTTTTGCATATGGCGGGAACCATTTGTCTCCAAGCTTGCTCCCCACGCCTTTCAGTGGAAAAACATTGGTATTCCAAGAGGGAGTCCATTATCAGGTGATCTGATCACATGACCCCATAGTGTAATGTGACCAGTGTCATGATCCCGTAGTGTCATTCCAGAGGACATGCTTCCATGCTGAGGATGTTCATTAAAAAAAATAATGCATTAATTAAATTTGTGACTCGTGTTTTTAACGAGTGTCATCAGCATGGAAGCATGTCCTCTGGAATGGTGGTCAAAGCGTAAAGGGGTAAACAACTGTTTAGCGTATCTGGCATGTAAATACCTTGCAATGCCGGCTACAAAAGTGCCATATGAACACCTGTTCTCACATTCAGTTGGCACTGTAAATAAGAAGCGAGCAGCATTATCTCCTGTAAATGTAAACAAACTTTTTTGTCTTAGCGATTGGCTGAACAAGAAGTAGGACTGAGTGGACTTGTAGACTGTAAAGTGTTACATATCTGCACTCAAAAACAAAACAATGTAACAAAAAAATCTACATTTATAAGTTGCACTTTCACTATAGAGATTGCACTACATTACTTTAATTAGATTAACTGAAAAATACTGTTATTTTTACAGTGCAGATATCTAAGAAAAATAATATAAACTGAGTACTGTACACTTTGTATTCTGTGTTGTAGTTGAAATCAATATTTGAAAATATAGGAAGACATCCACAAATATTTAATAAATGGCAGTTCGTATTCTATTAACAGCACAATCAAAACTGAATAATCACAATTAATTTCTCTAATTGTAATTAATTTTTTGAGTTAATCATGTGAGTTAACTGTGATTAATGGACAGCCCTAGTACTGAGGTATGAGCTTTGATTGAAGGTTTTTCCGAATTCACATTCATAGGATCTCTCTCCCATGTGGATTCTCCAATATCTAGTAAGGTGTGAGCTGAGAGTATAGGTTTTCCCGCACTCTCAGCATTCATAGGGTGTCTCTCCCATGTGGATTCTCTCATGTCGAGTGAGCTGTGAGCCGCAATTGAAGGTTTTCCCGCACTCACCGCATTTAAAGGGGCGCTCCCCAGTGTGGATTCGCTGATGTTTAATAAGATTTGAGGTGGAAATAAAGCTTTTCCCACACTCACTGCATTCATAGGGTCTCTCTCCTGTGTGGATTCTCTCATGTCTAGTGACATCTGAGCTCCTAGTGAAGGTTTTCCCACACTGGGAGCATTGAAAGGGCCTCTCTCCTGTGTGGATTCTCTCATGGGTAGTAAGATCTGAGCTGTAAGTGAAGGTTTTCCCGCACTCACAGCATTCATAAGGTCTCTCCCCCCTGTGCATTCTCTCATGTCTAGTGAGCTTTGAACTGCAACTGAAGGCTTTCCCACACTCACCGCATTTATAGGGCCTCTCCCCTGTGTGGATTCTCTCATGTTGAATAAGTTTTGAGCTGGAAATGAAGCTTTTCCCACACTCACAGCATTCATAGGGTCTCTCTCCCGTGTGGATTCTCTCATGTCTAGTAAGGTCTGAGCTCCTAGTGAAGCTTTTTCCACACTGAGAGCATTGAAAAGGCCTCTCCCCTGTGTGGATTCTCTCATGGGTAGTAAGATCTGACCTGAGAGTGAAGCTTTTCCCACACTCTCTGCATTCATGGGGTCTCTCTCCTGTGTGGATTCTCTCATGTCTAGTGAGCTCGGAGCTGCAATTGAAGGCTTTCCCGCACTCACTGCATTCATAGGGCCTCTCCCCTGTGTGGATTCTCTGATGTTGAATAAGGTTTGAGCTGGAAGTGAAGGTTTTCCCGCACTCACAGCATTTATAGGGTCTCTCTCCCGTGTGCATTCTCTCATGTCTAATAAGGGATGAGCTCCTAGTGAAGCTTTTCCCACACTGAGAGCACTGAAAGGGCCTCTCCCCTCTGTGCATTCGCTCATGTGTAGTAAGATATGAGCTGAGAGTGAAGGTTTTTCCACACTCATGGCATTCATAGGGTCTCTCTCCTGTGTGGATTATCTCATGTCTAGTGAGCTGTGAACTGCAATTGAAGGTTTTCCCGCACTCACTGCATTCATAGGGTCTCTCTCCCATGTGGATTCTCCGATGTCGAGTGAGGTGTGAGCTGCGATTGAAGCTTTTCCCGCACTCACAGCATTCATAGAGTTTCTCTCCTGTGTGGATTATCTCATGTCGAGTGAGGTGTGAGCTGCGATTGAAGGTTTTCCCGCACTCACAGCATTCATAGAGTTTCTCTCCCGTGTGGATTTTCTGATGAGCAATAAGGGCTGAGCAGTCACTGAAGTTTGCCCCACACTCACTGCATGTATATTTTCTCTTTCCTCTGAAGATTTTCTGCTGGGCTGTGGTTTCTTTGAGGTCCTTGTGAGTTCCCCAAGAGTAAATTAATTTTCCCATTTTCTCCCCTGGTTGGTTTCCTTGCTCACTCTCTGGACTACGCTGAATCTCAAAGACTTTTCCCTGCTCATGAATCGTGGGCACTTTCTCTTTGGATCTTTGCGATAATGCTCCGTGTGATTCCACTTGCTCAGCATCTTCCTGCTCAGACTTCTGCTCCTCATTCTCACTCACCATCACATCACCTGCTGGGACAGAGAGAGAAACCTGAAACTGGGCTGGACAAGGGAGGACCAAGCCAAAATAAGTGCTGGAGAGATGTCAAAAAACAGGAACTCAATTCCCCTAACTCTTCCCCAAAATTCAGCCTTCACATCCCATCCAAATTCTCAGACGGAAGGGAGGAAGTTACTGCCAGGTATCAGTTAGGATCTGTAGGAAGCCATGAGCTGTATCTGCCCTGACGATACGACACCTGCTGGGACAATCCTGAACTGAGAGCTCCCAAGGTCTTTGTAGGGCATCCCCAGATTTTTCGCTCAGGCAGTTACAGATTCTGAGTTGTTTAAATGTTCCTCACCTGTGCAGGGAGCTCTCAGGATCTCTTTTTCCTCTGAATCCTGGAGGTCTGGGACCAATGGCTCTTCCCCTTCTTCCACCTGGGAGATGACATCAGGTTTGGAAACTGGAACGCCTGCTCAGATGAAAGAAAACAAAGGAGATCAGGCGAATTCATAAGACTTTGTCATGAAAAATAATTATTTATCCAAAACCCAGTCCTTAGTAAACCAGTGAAATCCCAGGGCCAGCTCCCCAGGTCCTCAAAGGTGCAGAACGCTCTGCTCATGAGGGATTGTAATCACACATCTGCTGGGAACACACACAGACACTGTGACAGTCCGTAACCCTGTATTCACTCTTTTGCAAAACTATGATATATTTTGTACAAAGTCTGCCTTGTCAAGTATAATCTGGAAACTCATAATACGCTGAACATTATTATCTTGTTAAACTGTGTATTAAAATAGAAACACTCCATATATAAAGTTTGACAGAGCTCCTTCTCCAGCTCAGTGGGTTCCATACTTCCTCTTAGCGGCAGGCTGGAGTATTCCTCATCCTCTCAGGATTTCCCCACACCCCTGGGTTTACTGTCCACACTTTGCCTGAGCAGGGTTTCTCCCAGCCTTCTTGATGGCGGAAGGGGGATGGGAGCCTCTGAATCACTACTAGCTCCTCTGGGCATGGTGGCGACAGGCCAGATACCCAGTTCAGTCTCTCCCCTCTGGTGGGTTCTCTTCCCTCAAACCTCCAGGACCTGGAAGGGCTCTTTGCCCTGCCCTTTACCTTTGTATCTGTGGGGTTTCCCTCCTGGTGCTTGTCAGCGTCTGCACCGCCCAGCTCTCAAGTAGTGTGCCTGCCTCCCACAGCTCCTATCGTGCCCTCCTATCTGGCTGGAGGGGAGGCTCTTAACAAGTTCTGGCAGGCCCCTTCATTGGCCCCAGGTGTTTTAATTAACCTGGAGTAACCCCTGTTCAGTTACCAGGGGAAAAGGAACCTGCTTATCCTGGAGCTAATATACTTGCCGCCTTTCACCACTCTCCTGTAGCCGGCTGGCTTGACCCCGTCACAAAAGATATAAGATTTTATTGCATGATGTTTCAGAAAATATGTTAGAATTCTTGGGAACACCCGCAGACCAGTTCCTCCGAGACAGCACAGCTAACACCTGGTTAAGTGGCCATTCTCTAGTAGGGGGAAGGCATGAGTAAGAAATTTACATTCCATCACAGGGAGGACTTGAACCTCACATCGACAACACATGGAGCCTGTAACCATGACTCAGCTGAAAACTGAAGATGTTTCTAGCACACAGGACTGAATTATAAAAAGAGGTGAGGAAAACACTTGATACTGTCTCTCTTTCCTGCCCCTTTTCTCTCTATTCATGACATCAGCTCCTCCTGAAGAACTGAACTTCAGGAGGCAAGGCCCCTGGCTGAAAGGAAACCCAGCCTGTCACAGCATACGGGGAGAGAGAGAGAGATTTGCTGTGAATCTGTTTCAGCTTGTGAAGTTAGACGTTAGTTTGCGTTTCATCTTTTATTCTTTTGTAAGCAATTCTGACTTTTATGCCTCATTACTTGTAGTCACTTAAAATCTTTTCTTTCTGTAGTTAATAGATAAAACAATAAAACAACTTTATTGTTGGATTACAGTGTGAGACACTCCGCTTGGGATAACAAGCCTGGTGCCTGTCATTTCCCATGGATGAAGTGACAGACTTTGTATGACCTTGTATTGTTTAGTAATGTGCTGGAGAGTGCAAGACACATTTCTGGGGGGAAATCTGGGACTAGAGAATGTGCCGGTATTCCCCTGGGGTGTAATTCACGAGTGGCTGAATACCAGCACTCAATACTGTGTTGCTGGGAGCGAGTTACATGCTGGAGAACATGTGCTAGCTGCCCAGGAGTAGCTGTTCTCACAGCAAAGCAGTGTGGAAAGGCATCCCAGGTTGGAGAACTGATGGGAGACAGCTGTTCAACAGTCCAGAGTGTAGCCTGGGTAATGTCATAGACACTCATTATCAAAGAGGACTCCTAAAACACACAGAAGGTAAATGACTGTCTCAGAAAGTGGAGAGTCCAGACAGAGGGCAAGTCTCCCTGGCACTGCTTCTTGCTGAGAGAGAGGTCCAGAGACAATGAGAGAGTCCTGGGGAAGCTGGGAACAGTCAGCATGGGCTGGTGGGGTTCGGTGGAGTAAGGAATAGGAAGGGCAGGGATATTACTGAATGCAGGATCTCACCACTGTTAGATGTCAGGAAAGCACCTATTGCAGCATTAGGGAATCTAGTGTGTCAGGTGTAATGGGCGGGAGTATGAAAATCCCTGGGTGTGGGGAATGCTGGGAAATCAGCCGCTATAATCCAGGAACAACAGACTCCAATTCCTCTGGACAAGCAGAATGTGAAAAATAAGCATCAGGCCAGGTGACGTCAGGCATGATGGAGCCCAAGATCCAAGGCGCCTGCAGAGAAGAGAGATTGTGGCTATTGCAGATGGTGATGGGGAGCAGGACTCTCAAGATGTTTCACTACCAACCTAGGCCATTTTCACATCCTGGGGGCAATCCAGACCCGTGAGGAGTTGTGTCGTCTGTAATCCTGGGTGACTTTCAATGTTCTGCTGCAGGAGCTCCCTTGTCTGGATGCTCCCAGCCAGCATTCAAGGACACACTGAGTGTCTGTGTGATAAGTAACCCTGGACCAGCAGCTCTGAGACCAGCAGCCTGCTTCTTACACACCAGGCACACTCTGGATTCTACCAGCCTTGAATACACTTGGCAAGAGTCAGCAACAGCTGAATTTTCCCAAAACCATGTGCTCTGCAATGGCTACTTTTTCCTGGATCATTCAGAGGAATAATAAGGATTGTTTTCTCCTCAAATGGCCCAGCTTATCACTTCAACTGGAGTTGGCTAGCACTTGAATTCAAAGACAGCACCGGATTCGTTTAGATTAAGATTAAAACAAGTTTAGTAACAAAAGCATTAAGGTGAGTTCAAGTATAAAGGAGAAAGTCAGAAATGGTTACAAGCAAGTGAAAGTGAAAAATGCTTTCTGGAGATAGGGTGACCAGACAGCAAATGTGAAAAATCGGGGCAGGGGATGAGGGGTAATAGGAGCCTATATAAGAAAAAGAGCCAAAAATCAGGACTGTCCCTATAAAATCGGGACATCTGGTCACCCTATCTGGAGACTAGGACCTAATAAAACTACAGTCCTGGCTCAAGGTAAGATTCTTACCACGCTACTTACCAGCAAGAGGGCAGACCACCCCCTTACTCAATATCTCCCCCAAAGTACAAAGGGCTTGGTTCCTTTGTCTTCTTAAGTGGAAGATAACTTGGGATTCTCTGCCTCTCTTTTGTATAGTTCAGTGAACCTTTGAAAGGGAGTTTTCTGAAGGTTCCCCATTAAAGTAAAGGGCATTCAAACTGTGAGGAAGGCCTGGAGTCTAGTGCTGAAGGAAGTTCCATGGTGGTTTATTCCCTTGCTGGTGTTTGCGAAAATGGAATTTGGTCTGGTCCTGCGATATCCTCTCCCACCAAGATGCTGAGTGGTTACCCCTTGTTAGTTTGATGGTTTCTTTTATGTAAATTGCATTCCCATTGTCTCTTAATGTACCTTGAAAGTACCTTCAAGGTAGCAGAACCACCTGCCTTTGTCTAGGGTGGGGTAATTTCAACCCTGGCTGGCTGGCAGACATGCTTTAAGAATATCATTTGCAACATCTATAATATTGAATTTGTCCTCCATACATACACCATGCAATAATATTAATGATGTCATTAGGTTTCTATTGGTATTTGGGCTACCGATTAATCGTAGTTAACTCACACGATAAACTCAAAAAAAAATTAATCACGATTAATCACTGTTTTAATCACACTGTTAAAAAATAGCATACCAACTGAAATTTATTACGTTTTTGGATGCTTTTCTACATTTTCAAATATATTGATTTCTATTACAACACAGAATACAAAGTGTACACTGCTCAGTTTATATTATTTTTATTACAAATATTTGCACTGTAAAAATGATAAACAAAAGAAATACTATTTTTCAATTCACCTCATACAAGAACTGTCGTGCAAGCTCGCTCTTGTAACACTGCAATTTACAAATGTCGATTTTTTGTTACATAACTGCACTCAAAAACTAAACTTTAGAGCCTACAAGTCCACTCAGTCCTACCTGTTCAGCCAATCTCTAAAACAAACAAATTTGTTTACATTTACAGGAGATAATGCTGCCCACTTATATACAATGTCACCAGAAAGTGAGAAAAAGGCATTTGCATGGGACTTTTGTAGCCAGCATTGCAAGATATTTATGTGCCAGATATGCTAAACATTTGTATGCCCCTTCATGCTTCAGCCACCATTCCAGAGGACATGCTTCCATGCTGATGACATTCATTAAAAAAATAATGTGCTAATTAAATTTGTGACTGAACTCCTTGGTGGAGAATTGTATGTCTCCGGCTCTGTTTTACCCGTATTCTGCCACCTATTTCATGTTATAGCAGTCTCAGACGATGACCCAGCACGTGTTGTTTGTTTTAAGAACACTTTTGCCGGAGATCTGACAAAATGCAAAGAAGGTACCAATGTGAGATTTCTAAAGCTAGCTACAGCACTCAACCCAAGGTTAAAGAATCTGAAGTGCCTTCCAAAATTTGAGAGGGACTAAGTGTGGAGCATGCTTTCAGAATCTTAAAAGAGCAACACTCTGATGCGGAAACTACAGAACCTGAACCGCCAAAAAAGAAAATCAACCATCTGCTGGTGGCATCTGACCCAGAGGATGAAAATAAACATACATTGGTCCGCACAGCATTGCATCGTTATCGAGCAGAACCTGTCATCAGCATGGACGCATGTCCTCAGGAATGGTGGTTGAAGCATGAAAGGACACATGAATTTTTAGCACATCTGGCATGTAAATACATTGCAACGCCAGCTACAACATTGCCTGGTGAATGGCTGTTCTCACCTTCAGGTGACATTGTGAACAAGAAGCGGGAGCATTATCTCCTGCAAATGTAAACAATTTTGTTTGTCTGAGCGAGTGGCTGAACAGGAAATAGAACTGAGTGGACTTGTAGGCTCTAAAGTTTTACATTGTTTTATTTTTGAATGCAGTTATTTTTTGTACATAATTCTACATTTGTAAATTTAACTTCCATGACAAAGAGATTGCACTACAGTACTTGAAAAATACTATTTCTTTTGTTTTTTACAGTGCAAATATTTGTAATCAGAAATAAATATAAAATGAGCTCTGTACACTTTGTATTCTGTGTTGTAATAGAAATCAATAACTTTGAAAATGTAGAAAACATCCAAAAAATATTAAATACATGATATTTTATTATTTTTAACAGTCTGATTAATTGGAATTATTTTTTTTAATCGCTTGATAGCCCTAATTGGTATCTTAAACTAGATACACACTACAGATTATGTCAGCATAAATAACGCCACCTTCCTGAGCGACGTAAGTTACAAGGGCTCTGGGCCCGCTCGCTCGGCACTGTCCGTTGCCACAAGGGGCGTTGCTTGGTGCCGTCTGTGACTGGGCAGATGGACGAGCCCAGGAACACCCCAGGGCCGAGAGTGGAGGCAACGGCCTGGGGTAGGGGAGAGAGAGGAAGAGGCAGTGTGACTAATCCCCCCCCACATCGAGGCCTGTGGCAAGGGGGCGTCCTCCTGCTGGGTGACCGGGGTCACACCCACAGCCTCCATCTCCTGAAAACTAGAGCGAAAATCTCCTCCCCACCAGCAACCAAGGGGGCGGGAGGGGCTCCATCCGAGGCCCCCAGGGAGGGACTCCAGGAGGAGGGCGGTGCCGTTCCCCACGGCATCCTCAGCTGGCTCCCCCTGCTGGGCCCTATGAGGGGGAGGGACGGACGGCTTGGCAGTAGCGGCTCCCCTCAGTCTTGCGGGGGTCCCCTCCCCCTCTGTGTCAAGGCAGGTGGTGAGCCCGGGCCTTGCGTTTGACGCATTCCCCTGTCTGAGCTCCCAGCCCTCCAAGGTGGAGGCAGAGGCCTGAACAACAGGGTGGAGCCGGGGGGTAGGGATACCTCCCCCGTGGTGGGCCCTCTCCCATGCCTGGCAGCAGCTCTGCTGTCCTCTCCTCCATAGGCCCCGCTGCACTGCGTCCGACGGAGGTGTGGCCCACCTACTCGTCTGGGCATGACGGGTGGTTACCCTGGGGCCCGAGTGGGAGCAATGAAGGAGGAGAGGCGACTATGGGAGCCAGGCCACCAGGGTCGCCGGCGATGACAGGGCCGGCACCCTCCCGGGTCTCGGTAGTCCCAGGCATCCCTCCGTGCCGGGGGCAGTCCCTCTGGACATGGCAGAGGGAGCACCAGGCCTCCCCCGAAGAGCAGAGCACCCGGTAATGGGCCCCATGGTGGGACACCAGAAAGGACCCCTCTAGCGTGGCTCTGGAGCTGCCGGCGGAAGGACAGGATGTGACAGAGGGCGGGGTCCTTCCAGCCCCGGGGGAGAGGGCTGATGACAGAAAGGGGTCTCCCCAGGGTGGAGAGGAAGGGCAGTAGGACAGCATGGGCAGTAAGGGTGGGATGGAGGTAAACTCCACCCGCACGCCCAAGTCTTCCAGGAGCTCAATGGGAACATATATGCCCCCCACCGCCAGGCCCTTCCCCACCGCCTCCTAGGCAGTGGCCTCCGATGCCAGAAAGACAACGACCTTCCTGTACATCTTGGAGGCCGCCACCGCGGCCGTGGGCCCCACCACCCGCACCAACGCCCGCACGTAGGTCTCCACGTGGGGAGAGGCCAGCACCAGGAGGCAACGGACGCCAGGCTCCCTGCTTAGAGTAGGAAAGGGGCCCCGGCCGCCAGGGATGGAACTGGATGCGGCAGATGAAGTAGTGGTGTGTGGAGGGGCTGCAGCCACCTGGGCGTATGCTCTGGGGTCAAGGGAGGGACACCCCCAGAGCTGGTGGAGGAAATAGCAGGAGAAGGGGAGTCCCATGGTGGATGATTGGGGGGGACGGCCCCGACCACAGGGGGGGTTTCACCTTCCGAATGGGGCTCTTGCCCTTTTTCTTCCCCAGGCCTTCTTTACTGGCCGAGGGGTCTCCCCCGAAACTGGAGGGGGCAGGGACCATGGCAGCCTCAGAATCCGTTCTTGTGTTTGCTGGTAGCGCCCCCTATCGGGCAATGGCAGAGGGGCCGGCGGTGGTGGTGGAGAGGTTAGCAGCAGGGAGAGATGGGGGAGCTGGCAGGAAGGGGCCAGAGGGTCAGCACGAGGGGCCTCACCCACACTCTCCCTCGCCATTCTGGAAAGGGGCAGGAGGAAGCACCAGTGGAGGGGGGGAAGGCGAGAGGGGGGCAAGGGGAAAGGCCAACCACTCCTCCCCGCTAGGCTGCGGGCAGGGCAGGAAGGTGCCAATGGGGGGGGCTCGGGGAGGCCGATCGAGGCGGGGCAGGGTGGGGGTACCTGCTCCTCCGGCTGCACTGGGAAGGGGAGGGACCACAATACCAATGAGGGGGTGCAGTGAACGGGAGGGGGCGTAATGTAAAAAAGGGAAAGGGGCACAAGTGCTTAGGGAGGGAACGTGGCGCACACAGCCGGGGGCTGAGCGGGGGTGGGGGAGCAGTGCAGGGAAAGGGGGAGGGAGCAGACTGAAAACAGGCTGGAGGAGGGGCAGGCAAACGAACGCAAACTCCCAAGGGGTCAAGGCGGAAGGGCGGGGGGGAGGAAAATAGGTAGTAAGGGGGGGCAGGCAGCAAGGGGAAGGGGGTCAAACTGCTGCAGGGAGGCTGGTGGCCAAACAGCTGGGGAGCCCACTGGCCAAACAGAGCTGGGGAAGGCAGGGCCAGTCCAAGGGAGGTGGGGAAGGCTGTGAAGGAAGCAGCTGTGTCAAGGGGCGAAGAGCCGGTCCAGAGGGTAGATGGGGGGTGGTGAGGGGGGGGGGGGGGCCCCACGGCCCCCCCCCCCCC